ACAACGATGCTGTCATTCTCATTCTTCTGGAGCCCATTGAGAAAAAGGCCATTTCCTGCAGGAAGTGTTTGGGTTGAAGAATAATGGTAGTTTTTAAAATGGAAATATATACAGAATGAAATATTCTCAGTTTTCAAAACTTGGTTCTGTGTTGATTTAGAATTTTACTGTTGTTTTGCACAGGCAATATTAAACAGATTCTTCAAAAATTGCATATGTTAGTGAAATCTTTTCAGAACAGAAAATTTTTGAAAAATGGGTATTTGCATACAAAGGTCCACATAATAGTGCAGGGATTATATTAGACTTTCATTAAGTGATTTTTGACAGATATATTTCTTATTGTTTTATTTACCTATTACAAATACTTTATGTGAAAAAGATACACTGTGAATTTTGATAACTTCAAATAACTTAGAATTTCAGTCAGGTACTCAGAAATATAAATATCTACATGAGATATCCTTTCCCAAATACCTTTTCATATTCTGTGTTCATTTTCAAATCTTAAAAAATAAGTTTTGTAGTGAGTTGTAGGAGGCCTTATGCCAAACTGAAAAGCAGACTGACTAAGGAGCTTTGGAGTCCAATCTGGGTTTGTCACCTAGCTGTGAACCATGTGACTTAAGACAAGTTCTCCAATCACTTTAGCTGAAGGTGTAATAATATTAGAACCATTTATTTAATGTGTTCTTATGAAACTCAGATGAAAAGATATATTTGAAAGTGCTTTGGGAGCACTTGGGTGGCTCAGTCAGTTGAGCGTCCAGCTTCGGTTCAGGTCATGATCTTGCGGTTTGTGAGTTCAAGCCCCGTGTCAGGCTCTGTGCTGACAGTTCAGAGCCTGGAGCCTGCTTTGGATTCTATGTCTTCCTCTCTCTCTGCCCCCCACCCTGCTCGTGTTCTGTCTCTCTCTCTCTCTAAAATTAATAGACATTAAAAAAAAAAAGAGCTTTGAAAATGTTTATGACTGAGCAAGAATAAGGTCTGTGCCTAAGCAGAACGTGCTAACAGCTTTGCTAACTGTAAAATAATCTTTATTACACTGGTAATAACTTGTGGGGAAATAAATGATTTCTATCTGACTTTGCCGGACATTCTAAGAAGTTTTGGGATTACGAAGCAATAACATTAGTTAATCTAGGCAGTTCAAATAAAGACATACAGAGAAAGAACAGAGGTTTTTAGATTCAGGGGGAAAATATTGGGAATAAGTTTTCTTACCTATACACTTGAGAACTCCTGAGGAAGAGAGGTGGAGATTTTGAAGTGGTAAGAACAAAGTCTTTTCAGGCGGCTGCAGAGCCTGGATCATCAGGGAGAGAGAAATATCCACATAGTCCGTAACCTGAATGGAAAATCAGACTCCATCCTCTCAAGTTCACTCCTGCTTCCTGATTAAGTTTGCCTGATATTGGAACGCTTAATGAGGATTAGGGATGTGGAATGCTGCTCGAGAAAGGTAAAATTCTCATTTCAAATCTCAGTTCTGCCACAATTTGCATGGCATTTCCTAGTGTGCGAAAGAGGAGCAAGAATGCTTCCTCTGCCTCAATTCGTGAAGATCAAATACAGTTATGAATATAAAATGTACTCTATGAATATTATTAAGGCAGCTTAATTTTTGAAAGGTAATTTGTTTCCCTTATGAACATTCTTCACTAGTTTCTGCGGCAAGGAAAAAAACCTAAGTCTTTGTTTTTCAATTACTTTGAGAGGTGGTGATGGAACTGAGCATGGTTAGAATTTGGATTCAAAATCCTTTGGAGCCCCACATCTTTCATGAGAAGAGTAGGGATGGGAAATAGGTGCTACAGTCAGTGCACCACCAGGGGCTGCCCCAGGATTTAAAACAAAAAATGTCCTTATCTGCTCCTCAGGCAAAATTTCCTATGTTGATCCAGATAGTGACTGGTGAGAGCTATTTTAATATAAGAGAGTATAGACTTGCTGGTGGAAGTGGACCCTGGAGATACAAATTGTTGGGGGGGGGGGGTGGATAGGCACGAATTGGGGCTCCCAAGGATGGACAGGAACGGAGAAGTGGAATTTAAAGACGGTGTGCTTCTGGGTAACGCGAGGCTCTGAATGCCAAAGCTTCTGGATGATACTAGTTGGGTAACTGGCTACTGGGATTGCGAAATCTTCCTCTGTGCTTCGGGAATTCCCACGCGGGGGCCGCTACCAATCTCGGTTCTGTTTTCCCTCCCAGCGCCCTCGGCGGACTCGGGCCGCCTCGGGTGGGCCGCAACCTCAGTCGAGGTCACCTGAAGCAGCCCGGGGCCAAAGGCGGCCGCGACGGCGCGCGGCCCCACGGCCTCTCCTCCGCTGCGCGGCGGTGTGCTCAGCGACAGAAGGTTCCCGCACCCGGCGAGGACGCGCGCCCGCCGCGCGCACGTTTTCTTTCGCTCCCGGCCTCGGCCCAGGCGCGTCGCATCCGGAGGCCGCCAGGAGACGCGGCCCCGGGCGGCTCCGCCATCTCCCGGGTACGTCGGGCCTTTCTTGCCGCGCCCGAGAGCGCGCTCTGCTGGCGTCCTCGCTCCGCAGCCCTCAGCCGGGGTGCGCCGGGGATCCCTGCTTTCCTCTCGGTTGCACACGGGGCGCTAGGACGCCGACGCTCCCGCGGCCCCAGCCTGAGCGCCACCCTCCACTCCGAGCCCTGACGACTAGGGTCAGGTAAGGGCTTTCAGACGGCACGCGTGCTTCCCGCTGGTGGTTTGTCTGCGCTCCTGGGTTACTGCAGGGACCTAACTTCCACAGTTGGATTTCCATCACTGTGGCTGAGAAGTGGGAAAAATTCAGGACTCAGGATTTGCCTGGGACTCTCGCTCACTAACCCCGAGCCCGGCTTCACGCGCCCTCCGTGTTCTTCCATCCTTAAAAGATCTGAGTTATGTCTCTGATGAGAAAATAATTTAGAGCATTTAAGCTTAGACGAGTTCTTTAAAGAATGCCCTGAAGTTCTCCTTCTAAGCTTTCCAAATTCTGGAAATGAGAACTTGTGTTTAGAACTTAGCCGCAAGACAGGATAGTGTTTTTACTGTTTTTGTTTGTTTTTTAGGGAGGGAGGGAGAGAGAGAGAGAGAGGGAGAGAAATTGATTGATTGTTCAAGTATAAACAAACAGCTCAGCTGGCTGAGATGATAACTAATCTTGCAGAAGAAGGTCCTGTTTGCAGTGTTACTAAGAACTTTACCAGAAAGCAAGTGATAGATAGGATGGCCTGACGTGAAAGTAAAGAGAAAAAAAAAAAAAAAAAAAAAAAAGGAAATGGCAATCATCCTATTTTGACTTGTTCACCAGTATTTTAAGTTTCTTCCTCTTCTAAGCGGAGAACATTTGCATCTTTAAACTTTTTATGATGCTCTTATTTTACGAAAATTGTCACAAGTTTGCAGCATGTTTTATAAGTTTCTAAGCTATCAGTTAATTTTTTGTATTGTTTCCCTTAAGAATTTGGCTTGGTTGGTTAAATAGTAATTGAGCATGATTTTATGGTATAGGGCATTATGGTATAGGGTATAGGGTGTGACCTCCTCACAAAGATCTAGTAATAAATGTAAGTTGTATTTACTTCTTATAAATAAGAGGCTTGCTTGTTAAAATTGTTTTCCTCCACAATAGCATTTAAAATTTACATTCCTTTTTCCTCATACCAAAAGCCATGCTTGAGTTTTTGAATGCTATCTTCTTTCTTATCAATTATTAAATTTAAAAAAATGCAACCATAGTTTCTTGCTGCCTACTCTTAACGGGTTTATTTTCCATATTGCTGAAGAACATGTTTTTGGGTCCTTCTTTCAATGATGGAGTATAGATAAAGATTCTTTTTTGGTTTTTTAGCTTTTGAATGTCTGAAAATATGTATCTCACCTTTACTCTTAAATGATAATTTAAATGGGTACTGACAGATTGGCAGGTGTGTCTTCTCTGCCCTTTGAGGATATTATTCCATTGTTTTCAGGCTGGGTGAGGAATTTATACTCTTTAAGAAAATGCTTAGGCTTTATTATTACTTAATATCATTATTTATTAATTCAATACACAACTTATTAATTTATTATTTTATTGTTATTCTTTATCATTTTTAATTATTCTTTATTATTTTAAATTTTTATTCTTTTTTTATTCTTTATTTTTTTTATTGGGGAATCGATATGCATTTATAATTTGGGAACTTATTTTTTTTATTCAATTCCCCCAAATTTTTATTGTGTCTTTCAATATTTTGATCCACACCAGTGTATGTGGCAGGCCTGGAGTTCTGATTTTTTAGAGGAGGTTTCTAGAAGGCTGGCTTCATCCAGGGCCAGAGGGCAGAGATTTCTGAGATCCTTATTCACATAAGGTATAGCGTTTTCCTTGCCCGTGGCTTAATGGAGAGTGTGCTTTCAATTCTCAACCATGCCTGGGGCCCTGGGGCCCTTCTCCACTCCTGCTTTACTCAGCCATTATAGCCCTCACCCTGAAGTGGGTATCTGGTTGTGGTTTCTCTGGGGACAACAGGGCTTCAACTTCCTCTCAATTCTGCTTCTGCAGATGTGCACAGCAGAAGTTGCTCCTAATGCCAGGCTTACTTGTCAGACTGCCATCTTTTCCTGGGTCTTGGACCAGTGATTCCTCACCACTCTGTCAATTTTCTGAATTCTTTGTTTTTTTTTTTTTTTAAGTTTATTTATTTATTTACTTATTTATTTAGAGAGTGGGGGAGAGGCAGAAAGAGAGAGGGAGAAGAATCCCAAGCAGGGATTTGCACTGCCAGCACAGAGCCTGACGTGGGGCTTGAACTCACGAACCCTGAGATTGTGACCTGAGCTGAAACTAAGAGACAGATGCTTAACCGACTGAGCCACCCAGGCACTCCAATTTTCTGAATTCTTTAAGCAGATGATTTTATGCTTTATGCAGACCCACAACTCTCATTAGAGATGACTCTACTCGGTCTAACTTTAGCCATTGCTTTTCCCTTTCTCCATGTCTTACTCTGAGGAGCTCTCTGCCCCATGCTGTAATGTATAGAGGAAATAAGAGGAATAGAAGTGACTGTGATCTTCAGTGTCAAGTTGTTAATGGTAGTTTTAGCATCATCAGTAATTATTATTTGTTGAGAACCCACCATGCAATAGGTACCATATAATACTTGTATGAAATAGCCCAAGATCTCAGCTCGTATGAATTTTACATTTTAGAGACAAAAGGCTAGGACAAATTTAGAATAGATGTATTTGACCTTTAAATCTTAGGGGAAAACTAGTATAGATTTCTTAAGATTTGTGCTATTTATTACAAAATGGAAAAAAATCAAGTAAATTTTCGTTGCCCCGTACAGTTATATTAAGATGATTTTTTTCAATAACTAATTAAGCAGAAAGACAATGGAATAAATACAGTACCAAACAGTAATCCTATCTCATCTTAACCACCATCAGTTTTAGAGGTGGGTACGATACTAGATCTTTATAGTTTAGTTTAGTCTTTATAGGCTAGCTTCCATTGCCGCTGTTTCTGCTCCTCTCATACTCATTATCTTGCTTCCTTTAGTACCTGCTTGTTTTTTATTGTGTACTGGACATTCAACTTGAAACACTGTTTGTAGAAAGAAACTTGAGGCCTAGGATAACGTTACTGTCTTCTGGAGAATATTCTCCTTTGCTTGTGCAGGTACCTGTGAGCACTAGCTATTCCAGAAATCATCTTAATCCATTTTCAGAGACTAAGAATGTCTGAGCCATCCAGATAAATCAGAGCTGTGCTACAATCTACGTGAGGACTTGGTTTCCTCTACTTCAGCCTTACCTTTCCATCCATGATTGGCCTAGACCTTCACCTTTAACTCCCTGCCCTTCAAGCCTGTTAGAAGTGCTATGCAGCCTATCATATGCTTACTGTGTTCAAGGTGATGAAAGACAAGATTCAAAATTTTGGCAGAGAGCTGGAAACTACAAAAAATGACATAGCAGATGGGGAAAAGAATCTAACAGAAATTAAATAAATGAAAATAGCAATAACCAAACATTTAAAAGCAGTGGATGGATTTAATGGTAGATTAAACACAGCTGAAGAAAGAAGAATAAGCTAGAAAATAGATTAGAAGAAAATTTCGAGACTGAAACTTGAAGAGGCAAAATATGGAAAGAACAGCAGAGGAAAAGCCATGGAAAATATAGCTAACGTAGTGCTTAGATGAAAATATATGGTCTTAAATGAATATATTAGAATGAAGAATGACTGAAAATTAATGAGTAAGCATCTACCTTAAGAAATTAGAGGGGCGCTGTAGCTCCGTCGGTTAAGCGTCTGACTTAGGCTCAGGTCATGAACTCACAGTTCGTGGGTTCCAGCCCCGCATCAGGCTCTGTGCTGACAGCTCAGAGCCTGGAGCCTGCTTCGGATTCTGGTGTCTCCCTCTGTCTCTCTGCCCCTCCCTGGCTCCTACTCTGTCTCTCTCTGTCTCTCAAAAATGAATAAACATTAAAAAAAAAATAAAAAAAAAAAGAAATTAGAATAAGAAGAATAAAATAAAATCTAGAGAAAGCAGAAGGAAGGAAATAGTATTAGAAGAATAGAAATTAGTGAAATAGAAAAGAAATAGAGGATCTATAAACTGAGAAGCTGGTTTTTGAAAACGTTTGTAAAGAATGATAAACCACAGACAGGACAATAAAAAAAGCTGGCACCAATTACTCATCTAAGGAATGAAATAGGGAACCTCACTATAGGTCTTACAAACATTAAAATATTAAGAGGATGATGTAAGTAGCTGTGTCCATATATTTGCATAATTAAACGAAAACAACAAATTCCTTGAAAAACACAACTTATCAAAGCTGAAAGATGAATAAAAAGAAAATCTGGATAGTTCTGTAGCTGTTAAGCATATTTAATATATTTCACAAAAACAAGAAAAATGTACAAATAATAACAAAAACTGCAGTCTTAGAAGGTGGCATTGGTGAAAGGAGAGGAAAGGAAATGTGTAGGGTGATTTTACTTCTGAATATAGTTGCAAAAATTCTAAGGAAATATTAGTAAATAAATATATCCAGTAAAATATAAAAAGGGTAATATATCCAGACTAACTTGGATTTCTTCTAAAACTGCAACATTATCTTAACACTAAATCAATTAATGTAATCACCAGTATTAACACAGTAAAGGAGGTAATTCATGTTATTATCTCAGTAGATACAGGAAGAGAAAAAAGTATTTGATAAGATTCAACATTCAGTAATCAAGAAAACAAGGTAAAGGTATAATGATTGGAAAAAAGAAAAAAACAGTATTATATCTGAGTGATGTGATTGTGTACATAGAAGATAAAAATCTACAAACTGGAATTACTAAATCAATTTAGCAGGGTTAATTAGTGCATGGTAAATACATAAAATTTAATTGAAATAAATATATACCACATATAAGTATGTATTATTGTTTTTAAAGCTTAGAAGATCTCAAATGCCTGGGAATAAATATCACAAAATATGCTCAAGACCTCTGTGCAGAAAACCGTAAGATATTATTGTGATAAATTAAAGAAAAAGCTAAATAAATGGAAAGATGTATGGATTGAAAGATTCATTATTGTAACAATGTCAGTAATTCCCAAACTGACCTACAGATTCATAGTATTGCCATTTAAAATAAACAAGTTTTGTTTTTGAAACGGATAAGATGATTCTGTAATTTATAAGAATATGCAAAATGCCAAGATTAACCAAGCCTCATTTGAAGAAAAACAATAAGCAGGAAGGGCTTGCGCCCCACCCCACCTCCCTCCAGGATATTAAGTTATGTTATATACTTAATGTAGTGATACCAGTACAAGGATAAGACAAACAGACATTGGATCAGAATAGAGAACACTGAAACACACTCACCCCTATGAGGACATGCGATTGTTGACAAAAGTAATATTGTTGACTGTCTCCCCAAAGTGATCTTTTTTTTTTAAATTAAATTTTTTTTTCAACGTTTATTTATTTTTGGGACAGACAGAGACAGAGCATGAACGGGGGAGGGGCAGAGAGAGAGGGAGACACAGAATCGGAAACAGGCTCCAGGCTCTGAGCCATCAGCCCAGAGCCCGACGCGGGGCTCGAACTCACGGACCGTGAGATCGTGACCTGGCTGAAGTCGGACGCTTAACCGACTGCGCCACCCAGGCGCCCCGAAAGTGATCTTTTTAAAAATGGTGCTGGGTCAATTGAATATCCATTTTGGAAATGAAATGGATCCTATCTGCTACCTCAAATATTAATCCCATGTGGTTTATAGGCCTATGAAAGGCAAAGCAATAAAGATTTAGCAATAAAGATTTAGAGAGTATCTTCATGATAATGTAAAAAATATTTTTTAAACAGGACACAAAAATTACTACAAAGAAACAGAACAGAAAATTTAAGAACATCTGTTTATCAGAAGATTCCAGCAAGCAAGAAGGAAAGCGGCAGAGTGGAAGAAGATACAGGCATACTTTGTTTTATTGCACTTGGCTTTGTTGCACTTTGCAGATAGTGTGTTTTTTACAAACGTGTCTTGTAACCCTGCATTGAGCAAGTCTGTCGCTGCCATCTTTCCAGCAGCATTTGCTCACTTTGTGTCTCTGTGGTACATTTTGGTAGTTCTGGCAATATTATATTCAATATTGTTATTATATTCATTATGTTGATCTGTGCTCAGTGATTATGACTCACTGAAATCTCGGATGATGGTTAGCATTCTTCAACAATGAGCATTTAAAAATTTGTTACTATTTTTTTATGCTTATTTATTTTTGAGAGAGAGAGAAACACAAACACAGTGCAAGTGGGGGAGGGCAGAGAGAGAGAGAGGGAGACACAGAATCCGAAGCAGGCTCCAGGCTCCGAACTGTCAGCATAGAGCCCTACGCAGGGTTTGAACACACGAACTGTGAGATCATGACCTGAGCCAAAGTCGAACACTTAATTGACTGAGCCACCCTGGTGCCCCTAGCAATAAGCATTTTTAAATGAGGTATGTACTTTTTTTTTTTTTTTTTTTTTTTTTTAGACCTTGCATACTTAACAGACTACTGTGTAGTGTGAACATAGCTTTTATATGCACTGGGAAACTAGAGAATTCACTTCAATGGCTGCATTGTGATAGTCACTTTATTATGGCAGAACTTCACCTGCAGTATCTCTGAGGAATGCTTGTATTTGTAACATATGTATCTTCCTTCCATTTCCAGAGTATATGTCTTTATTTATATATAATTTAATATTTATAATAATTATTATAATAGCAACAATCCAATAGAAAACAGTAGGCCAAAAACTGAAACAGGCACATTACAAATGAGGATTCCAAATGATCATATGCAAAGGTGTTCAGGTTCATTATTAGTCCAGGAAATGAAATTTAGACTCGGATGAGATTACACCGCTTACCAGAATAGCTGAAGTTAAAAAGACTGGCAGTGCAAAGTGGTGGCAAGAGAGAGGGCAGTTGGAACTGTCCTCTGGTGCTGATGGGCATGCAAATTATGGGTTATCCATATTATGAAATGCTGTGATCCATTGGGAAAAAATCAGAAACGTCTGTATATATGGATGGAAAAAGATGTCAAGCCATATTGTAAGGTGAGAAGTGAAAATCCAGAATAAGCATGCATGGTATGGCCCCATTTATCTAAAAGAGACAGGAGGGGATGCCGAGCAGTTGCACTGGTGTGGCCGTAAAAAATCTGGCAGCAACAGCTATTAAATTTCCCAGCCAAGTGTGTATTAACATTATTTATATTTTAATTCTCTGTACCTATAAATTATATAGGCCTAGGGCCTTCGTAATCTCTCAGATTCTGTGCATGTGGGAAATTAGTTTTACCCACAAAAAGTTTTCTTCTTGGGGTTAGATTTTTAAAATTGTTTTGTAGAGCTAATGTAGTGAGCAGAGGAGTACAGACAGCAGGAACGAGAGAGCCGAATAGAGCCAAAAAGGGATATAGGACCCAGGAGGTGGGCAGAAAGACAGTGCTGGATTCACGGTTATAAACTAGCAGTGGGAGAGAGTGTGCAGACAGCTTTACTCCCCCCCACATCCAGACTGGAGCACTACTTTCTGCACTTACTTTTCTGCAAGGAAGAGAAGGTTCCGGTGGTCTGATTGTCCCTCAGCCTAGCCAACCGCTTCGCTCTGCCTGGGGTCCCCAGCATCCCTCCTGTCTGCTAGGAGTAGGTGAAGCATGGGAGCACAGGACCTTTTTCTTTCGGTGAAAGACCATGCTACCCGCTGGAGCTGCAGTCAGTGAACCCTGTTCCAGTGAGAGCTGCAGGCGGGCTCTGTGAGATCTCTAACTCCCAGCGGGCATTGAGGCAGGGAAGAGGCATGCTTAATACAAGAAGGCTTGAAGTGCGTGAGTAGGTGATTGTAAATCCATAGGGTTAATTAAGCCTCGCTCGTGTTAAACCTGCTTGCTTGTTCATTCCTCCATTCATTCATTGACTCATTCTTTCAGCTGAGACATAGTGAGTCTTGCTCTGTACTCTCCCAGATGGTATTGGATCTTGAGGTCATGGCACAGTGGCAGAATGTCTGTGTTGGTGTTGCTGGATGTGGCAGCAACATATCCCCATTCATACATTCCATTTGCCGCTCTGTCATTTCCAGGTAGCTCTGTGTGTGCGTGCGCGTGTGCCTTATACCTTACAAAACATTTCTCAAGAACTGGAATCATGATATACTGTCAAACACAGTCACTCATTTGAACCTCTTTTATTTGTAGGTTGAATTACTGGACTGGACAATGTCACATGTTTTGTGGACAGTATGGGTCTTGGGGGCTGTAACCAGCCTCTCCAAGGAAGTGGCCCCTCATCAGACTTCTCTGTTCTGTGACTCCACGGGCATCTGCGAGGGCCACTCCAGATCTTTAAACTCCATCCCTTCAGGACTCACGGCGGCTGTGAGAAGCCTTGACCTCTCCAACAATGAGATCACCTACATTGGCAACAGTGACCTGCAGGGCTGTGTGAACCTCAGGGCTCTGAGGCTGGAGTCTAATGAAATTAACACGATAGAGGAAGATTCTTTTTTTTCCCTGGGGAGTCTCGAACATTTGGACTTATCCTATAATCACATATCTAATTTATCATCCTCGTGGTTCAGGCCCCTTTCTTCCTTGAAGTTCTTAAACTTGCTGGGAAATCCTTACAAATCACTTGGGCAAACACCTCTTTTTTCTCAGCTCACAACTTTGCAAATTCTGAAAGTGGGAAATATTTACAGTTTCACTGCGATTCAGGAAAAGGATTTTGCTGGGCTGACTTTTCTTGAGGAACTTGAGATTGATGCTTCAAATCTCCAGAAGTATGATCCAGAGAGTTTGAAGTCCATTCAGAACATCAGCCATCTGGCCCTTCGTATGAAACAGCCTGATTTGCTGCTGGAGATTTTTGTAGATCTTTTAAGTTCTGTGGAACATTTGGAACTGAGAGATACTCATTTGAACACTTTACATTTTTCAAAAGCATCCATCAATGAAACAAATACGTCGATTAAAAAGTGGACATTTAGAAACGTGAAAATCACTGATGGAAGTTTTAGCGAACTTGTAAAACTGTTGAATTACGTTTCTGGAGTGTTAGAAGTAGAGTTTGAGGACTGTACTCTCCATGGGCTTGGCGACTTTGACGTATCTGACATGGGCAAAATTGGAAGTGTAGGTGGGATAGAGACATTAACAGTACGGAGGTTGGTCATTCCATACTTCTACTCGTTTCATGATCTGAGTAGTGTGTATTCACTTACAGAAAGAGTTAAAAGAGTCACAGTAGAAAGCAGTAAGGTGTTTCTGGTTCCTTGTTTACTTTCACGACATTTAAAATCATTAGAATATTTGGATCTCAGTGACAATTTAATGGTTGAAGAATACTTGAGAAATGCAGCCTGTGAGCATGCCTGGCCCCTCCTACAAACCTTAATTTTAAGGCAAAATCGTTTGAAATCATTAGAAAAAACCGGAGAAACTTTGCTTACTCTGAAAAACTTGATTAACCTTGATATTAGTAAGAACAGTTATCTTTCTATGCCTGAAACTTGTCAGTGGCCAGAAAAGTTGAAATATTTGAACTTATCCAACACCAGAATATACAGCTTAACCCGATGCATCCCCTGGACACTGGAAATTTTAGATATTAGCAATAACAATCTCGATTCATTTTCTCTGACTTTGCCACAACTCAAAGAACTTTATATTTCCAGAAATAAGTTGAAGACTCTACCAGATGCCTCCTTCTTACCCACGTTACAGGTCATGAGAATCAGCAGAAATGCAATAAACACTTTCTCTAAGGAGCAACTTGATTCTTTTCAAAGACTGACGACTTTGGAAGCTGGTGGCAACAATTTCATTTGCTCCTGTGAATTCCTGTCTTTCACGCGGGAGCAGCAAGCACTGGCCCAGATCCTGACCGACTGGCCACACAATTACCTGTGTGACTCTCCATTCTATGTGCGGGGCCAGCGGGTTCAGGACACCCATCTCCCAGCTTCTGAATGCCACAGGGCAGCTCTGGTGTCTGTCGTGTGCTGTGTCCTTTTCTTGTTGATCCTGCTCACGGGGGTTCTGTGCCACCGTTTCCACGGGCTGTGGTACCTGAAAATGATGTGGGCTTGGCTCCAGGCCAAAAGGAAGCCCAGGAAAGCTCCCCAGCGGGACCTCTGTTATGACGCCTTTGTGTCTTACAGCGAGCGGGATTCCCACTGGGTGGAGAACCTTATGGTCCAGGAGCTGGAGCACTTCGACCCTCCCTTCAAGTTGTGTCTTCACAAGCGGGACTTCATTCCCGGCAAATGGATTATCGACAACATCATCGACTCCATCGAGAAGAGCCACAAAACCATCTTTGTGCTTTCTGAAAACTTTGTGAAGAGTGAGTGGTGCAAGTATGAGCTGGACTTCTCCCACTTCCGTCTGTTTGATGAGAACAACGATGCTGTCATTCTCATTCTTCTGGAGCCCATTGAGAAAAAG